CCCGTTACTGCCACCGTTCCTCGAGCCCCTGCGGCGCTTTCTCGAGTCTCCTCGCAAATGGAGGCGCCGGGCAGTGGGTGGGGAGCATCTCCATCGGCAGTGGGAAGGACGGTGGACACGGACCGACCCCATTACAAGCACATCCCTTTCCCACACCCCACCCGCGCCGAGGAAGAGAAGTGTCCGTGGTATCCCGGCAGCGCCCGGCGTCGGGACTGCTTTTACTTCTGGCGTGACACTGCTGATCCCAGAGCTCGGTGGAGCACCAAAAAAGAGGGTGAGAATGATTTAAAAAAAAAAAAAAAAAAAAAAAAAAGGAAAAAAAACCCCCAACACCAAAAAGTGCCCTAGCCCGCCTGTGCCCCCGCATCGCCCCGGTGCAGCTACTCCTTCCCATGCCCGAGCAGACCCCTGCGGCAGAGCCTGAGGGTAGAACGGGGCTGTGCCCAGTGTCCACCCCCACGAGTCCCGCGGAGCCCCCACAGCTGCACCGCCGGCACCGGCATCGCCCTGGCCAAGGGCCGCACCGGGTTGGATTCGGCAGCCCCGAGCCTCCTCAACCCGCCCCCGATGGCTCTGCTGCTGCCGCAGCTACCAAAGTTTTTATTCTCATCCTCGTTATCTCAAACTGATCAAGTGACCACGAACAAAAAAACCAAACACTTTTAATGTAAAGTTTGCTCACCTGGTGTAGTAACGATCAGTTCTCAGAGCAAAGGACTTCTGCTTCCAGCAAAGTCTTGTTCTCCGACTTACTCAGCCGGAAGAGCACCATTAGCTACTTTACATAAACTTTTTTAAGTCTGTTTCAAAGGCATTTGATGTAGAGCATAAAGATGCACCTTGCGCGCTGCTGTCAACAGCCAGCCTCAGGCTGGGGCTTGGGCGCTACATGTCCAACTCCCTAACAGAAGAAAAGTCTTTCTTTTTTTTAAAACTCAAAATTTATTACCCTTTTATCAAAGTTTCAGCCCTTGGCCATTCGGCAAAGCTTTTGCCAAACGGTTTTAGATCTAATCGGAAACCGTTTGAGTTGCGTTTTGATCCGACCGCCACTCTGCGTTTATTTCTTGTAAGACAAAATAAAAGTTAAATCGAACCGGTGTCGCCGACAAGCAGTCGGAGCCCCGGAGCTGGGAGGTGCTCTGGGCCGTGCCCCCTGTTGCCAAGGACCCTCTCCGGGCGTGGCGGGAGCTTCCCGCTGGGACCGCTCGCCGTCTCCCCCCAGGTCTCCTCCGGCGGCCTAGGGGTGGGAGGGTGACTGTGGCAGAGGCGGTCCCTACAGCCCCCCAAGCCGCGACGGGCTCCGGACAAATGGTCGGCGAGCAGAGCTCCCACCTCCGCTCAGTCACTTGTTAGCGCTGCCTAGGACCTTACCCGACGGGGAGGGAGAAGTGAGTGCTTGATAATGTTGATAATGTTCACTGTAAACCACTTTGGTATTCACTCGCTTAATTCTGGCGTGGCCTCGAGCACCGCAGGGAGGTACGGAGGGAGCTCGGGGCCGGGGCCAGACCCCCGAGGCCTCCCCCCGACGCTGCCTTCCGGCTCCCAGCGCCCTTCGTCGGAGTGGACGCGGCGCTCCGTGCCCGGGGGCAGCGCATCTCCCCCGGCCCGAGCCGAGGTGAGGGCCCCCCGCACCCACGGCCCTCCAGGCAGAGGGGAGGGAAGCGAAGACCTCTTGTAAAGCTCCCAGCCGTCGGAGCCCGCAAGATAAACATCATTAGAAATCATTGTAATTGGGATTGTGAAATCTGACCTCTGACCCGCCGGGCTACGTGTCACAACCGTGTCTGCTTTGATTCCTCGAAAGGCGGCACAAAGGAACAAGCTCCATGACAGGAGGCAGCGGGATCTGCGTCCCGGCCCGCGGGGACCGACGGGGGGGGACCACGCGTGGCCTTCCCCTCCTCCCCCGCGCCTCATTTGCATATGCAAAGCAGCAGACCGCCGGGCCGCCCCCGCCCCGGGAGTGGTCGTCAGGCCGGGGCAGGGGTCGTGGAAGCAAGTTGTGTCCGACCCTCGGTCGGTGCGTCCTTCCACCAGCGGAGGGAGGACGAGGGGGCACCTGGTGGGTGTTTGATATTCACGTACCACAAGCGCGTCTGCCTCCCGGGGGTCAGGGTGTAGGGGAGCAGACCCACATGGCAGGGAGGAAGGGGAAGAAACCGCATTTCCTTCAGGGCTTTTTCACCTGGGCTAGTGGGTGCTACTCCTGGGCCTTGGGCTCCCCAGTGCCATCCACACATCCAGTCCCCAGCTCTGCTTTCCAGCCAGGGGGCCTGGTGCGTGTCCCCCACCTCCCACCACTCCACACACACCTGATCCCTCTCCTACACAGAGGGTGTTGTGCCTTCTGCTCTTATTTCTTGGCTCAGGGTGGTGCTGAGCCCCAGGTGGAGGCCTCCCCTCGACGGCTGCCGGCCAGAGAGGATCCCTGCAGGGCTGTCGGCCCCCAGCACACATGGGGGACCAGGGTCACTCATGGAGCCAGCGAGGGCAGACCTGAACCACGCCGGCCTGCGCCGATTCCCTCATATGCCCCGCTCAGCTGCCCTCAATGTGAAATCCTAACAGCATAATTATATTAAAAAGCCTGATTTGTTTAAATAATCCTCTTTAGGCTCCCTTTAATCTGCCCTATATTTCTCCCATCGTCTTCATTCCTGACTTGTCCAGCTCAGCTGAGCTTGGCTGGACACCCTGCAGCTGAGGAAACTCCTCTTCATCTTCCTTCTTCTCCAGAGCCCCCCAGCCTGTGAGCCCTCCTATGCCCAGGAGCCGGGTCTGGGCTGCAGGTAGGCAGCAGGTCCCGGGGTCTGTTGGTAGGGCAAGGGGGTGGCAGGAGGGGCCAACAGCCCTGCTTGACCCAGCACCGAGAGCGAGCCAGCATCACCTGTGTCCCGCGGACAGGGGAAGCAAAGAGGGTCGGTGCCCTCTCCCTTCGGCAGGGCAGGGCCTAATCCGGCCCAGGAATACTCTCAGGGAGGGTCATTACTCGATTTTGAAGAGGAAATGCCATTTTTCGCCTGTACAGCTCCAGGGGAGTGAGAGACGGTCGGTATGAGAAGGGCAGAGGAGTGAACTGAGACTGGAGCGGGGGAAGGAGAGGGACAAACTCTCTGTGCATCCCCGACAGCAGCGAGAGGGACACTCAGAGGGGATCTGAATCCACCCCCTGAACCCTGCAGCTACCCTCGGTGACTGCTTTCCATGTGAGTGGTGCAGTGCGCACTTTGAGGGACAGTTTTATTTTCTTCAGTGTGGAAGATCTGAGTTCATGTTCTAATCCCATTAAAAAAAACCAAAAAACAAACAACAAAATAAAATTTAAAAAAAAAAAAAAAACACACAAAAGAGAAAGAAAGAAATGCACAACTTTAGATGGCGCTGTACAACATTTATTTAAGCCCTCCGAGTATTCCTGGGTCCTCGGTCTGCAGAGAAAAGCAGAGCCCTTGGCGGGCAGAGGCGGCCTGGGCTGGGGGGGGGATGGA